GTTTGCGACTGTGACAGGTATCGGACGACGAAGTGGACGCTGGTTGGTGATGAAGCTTGTTTTAGCAGAGCACATGTGCCAACCGCAGCAACTGTCGAGATACTAAGTATTCGGACCTGAAATTATTCGAGCAAGGTTAGCATAAACTTGAGGTAAGGGAATTCCTTCGGCACTTGTGGTTTCTTCAAGTTGTGTCTCGAAATCTGTCTCTGAAACATCAAGTGTGGTGACGCATCCAAAGACCCCTTTCCCTGATGTTGCAGATGCAAAGACCGGAGGACGATGCTGTGATGGCGACGGATCTTGCGGCGTTTTCAGCATCTGCTGCGTTTGGGTCGTTGACTGCTGCGCGGGCTGATGTGGCTTCGGTAATTGCTGCGAGCGCTGATAAGGCTGTGAAGTGCTGCGACGGTTTTGATGTCGACGATTCTGGTAAGTGTGTCCTGGTTTCTTGCAGAAATGGCAGAAAGGATATTTCGGGGGATGACGATGGTGCAATTATGGATTTGAGTAAAAACTCAAGTGTATTCCCTTTTTCTGATTGCGTTGTGACTGCAGGTCGAGATCTTGCTGTTCTGCTTGAAGATACGATGAAATTTCAGCTTTGGAGAGGTTCGGGTTCATGCGCAAAAAGGCGCAAGTCTGTCGCCATTCGGGTCCAAGGCCAGCAAGAAGGACAGTGAGATACATCTCACGAGGGAAGTATCCCCCACTTTTCTCCAGTTGATCTCGTAGTGTACGGACGCGGTTGACGTAATCCATGACGTTCTCATTTGTCATCATCTGCACACTTGTTAACTGCGAAAGAATCTTACTCACTGTTATTGTATCTTTTGCCATGTAAACCCCCTTCAAGTGGTTCCATGCAGTTTCAGCTGGTGTAAAACGTGAATGAAACGATCGGACGCCGAGCTGCTCCTTCGGCGACAGGTTCCGAACAAGAACTGTATACGCCCCGAGAGAGGCGTGCAAGAAACTCTGCTGCTCCAGTTGTGTTCCCGTAACAGGATAGGTGAATTCGCCGGTGAAGAACGGCCAAAGCCCAGCGGACTGCGCCAGAAGCTCAAACTCGCAACTCCAGGAGTAAAAATCCACTCCGTTAAAAGGTATGGTTCTTTTGATCTGTGTACTGTTACGCAAATTTGGCGGTTGAAAAATAATACCCGGTTGTTGGGGCTGTTGCTGTTGCTGTTGCTGAAATTGCTGTTGTTGTTGCTGTTGCTGTGGCTGTTGATGCTGTTGCTGAGCAGGAGGACGACCAAAGATCTAAAAGGGATGCTGCTGCTGCTGTTGTGACTGCGGCTCCTGCACAAAAGGTGAGAAAGCGAATGAACCAGTACTTGGAGCTGAGGCTCCACGCATGTAACTCGAGCCGTTAAGGCTCATTCCACTGAATGCTGATGATATTGACTGCGTTGAAAACGGTGGTTGCGCTGTTGCTTGTTGCTGTACTGATGACTGTTGTTGAGCTGATGCTTGTGTTTGTTGGTGTTGTGCTGCAGGGGCAGTTGATGACATCCCTGGAGTGCTGACAGAAGACGGATTCTGCTACTGCTGCTGCAGACCGATATGCGCATAAGCTGGTGGAAACGGTCCAGAGGCTGAGAGACCAGTGGCGGTCGTGGAGACATGTACTCCAGTAGTTCCGAAAGTTGATCCGGCAGACGGTGCTGGTGATGAACCAGTCATTGTTGACAGTAGTCTTGATTCCAGATAGCTCTCATACCATGTAATATTTCGACAGGTGTTGCAGAAGACTAAGTACAAAATCTGCAAACACGAACACTTGGAAAACCTCAAGTGTTAGCATAGGATCTTTACTGGAATGGTAGACTAGTAAGACAGCGGAAGTCTTGTAAGAGTGAACCTGAGTATATGTTTCTGCAGAAGTTAAGTCTCAAAGTTCTCAAAGTTGAAATCTCAAGGTTAACAATAAAAAGGATACAACAAAGATTTATAGCTTTAGGAAAAGTACCTATTCGCTAATGTACCTGTTCGTCACTATCGCGCTATGCGCCCTAAATGACAATGAAGAGGTGCGACTATTCGCGTGACTGAAACGACTGTTCTATGACGAGCGCTATTTGCTTGCGTCACCCTACGGACTTATCTTCTACAATAGGATTCGACACTATCTATCGATAAACGACTTACAGAAATGCTAAGTATGAAATATACCACAACACATTACTGGTAAACACTTCGTCAGTACAGATGAGCAGGTTCTCGAAGTTCACCTCCCCAAACCAAAACCCGAGAGCTGGGATACAGCTAGAATTCCTCGAGGTTAATCGTGACATACCCCGCAAACACCCTGCCATTTTTCGCACGCATCTCATTGATGAGGCGGTTCTAGTTGAACCCGAGCACGCCCACGTAGTAGTTGCAGTCAGATGAGATGAGCAGGTTCGCAAAGCTCACCCCCACCAGCTGGGAGTATGGGGTACAAACAACCTGGGATATACTACAACTACCTTATTCTCCCGGATATTGTACCCTAGGGAGCTATTTTGGGGTGGGTGGAATTAAAGGCAAAAAAAATATAACACCATGGTTCTATGGAACGTGCATATGGCTTTTCCAATTGCAAAATGTTTCTGCTTGTTACACCACTTTGTACTGAGTCAAATATCGACATTCCGTGACCTCATCGCGTAACTGACGATGTGGTCCATATACAAGCCACGTCGTTGACTAAACCAGCTGAGTCACGGAAAATGCTGGCAAATCAGCCAATGAACGCGTGCCGCAGGCCTCATCCTAGCTGCTTCCATGCAGCGCTGTGCCATCACAGCGTTGCTTGACAACATCCAAGGGGAGATTCCATTCAAGGCCCATCCACGACCGTCCATCGCACAAAATCGTACGCTGGACGCTTGTGAAGGGGCTGTTCGTAATCGATAGGGACGAGGAGTCGCGCATGTCCCTTCCTTCCCCTCCATCCCGTTCTTGAAGTGGGTCAACCTGACATTTTTGCCTCATTTCGTCATTCAGCAGCAGAATGCCTACAAGACAGCCCCTGCAAGGGCTGTCTCAGGCACCCCACTCGGTTTCTAGTAGAGGCTCCCGCCATGGCGTATGGCACAGGCATGTCGCGTGTGCTATCTCAGAGAGGCCCTTACGGTCAGCAGACATTCTTCCACCGTCCATCCCGCCCGACAGTATCGTCGCCCTCTCGGAGCCCAAGTCGCACGTCTGGCGAGGGCGACAACACCGCCACAGACTCAGCGACCGACGCGACGGAGGATCGGCGTCCCCTGCCCCGTGTCATTGTGCCAAGCTTCCTCGTGCCTTTCTGCCGTCCAAATGGCCCGTCTATCAACCATGACGCGAACCCCCCCTCTCCTCGAAGCAGGATGACAAAGCGGAAACGCCGCTCGTACAGCGCTTTGGAGAAATCGTACTGGTTAGGAATGTTTGACTCTCAGCCTGACCTCTCCATCCGTTCGTTGGCCAAGCTCGCAGGTGTGCAGCCTGTCATGATTCGAGAGTGGAAGAAGGCACGGGAGAGACTCCGTGTCGCTGCAAGCTGTCGAAAGCGGCTCGTTGGCGCAGGTCGTCCAGCGAAGTTCCCGACGATGGAAGCGGCTCTCTACCGTCAGTTTTTGCGGCATCGAGGGAAGGGCCTGGCTGTCTCCGTGAAGCTCCTGCAGAAGTGGAGCCGCTCGTACATGAGGGCCATCCTGATGTCGACTGGCGCGCGTCCGCCCGCTGGACCTTCAGATTCCGCGCGCGATTTGGGCTGACACGACGTGTGAAGGCCAAGATGGGGCAGAAGCTCGCCGATGGTTCGCTTGCTTTCCCATCTCGCCAATCCTGTTGAATAGTGCATGCTTGTTTTACGACAGTGTCCGACTAATTCTCTATCTTTGTTTTTGTCTAATGCAGACATGCGGGAGAAAGTCCACAAGTTGTGTGAATTCGTCAAGCAAATGCGACTGCTCAATGGCTACAATCTCGACCTCATTGTCAATGCGGATCAAACTCCGCTTTTCATCAAGATGCCGCAGGAAGGACCTTGGAGCACAAAGGTTCGCGGACAGTACACGTGAGGACCGCCGGGTACGAGAAAGAGCGCTTGACCGTCATGTTGGCGGTCACAGCCTCATGAATGAAACTCCCGCCATATGTCATCTTCAAACGGAAGACCCTGCCGAAGATTCTGGTTCCCCCAGGTAGGGATTCTGAACTCTGGCGGATTCCTGGATTGCTCCACACCATCGTCTGTTGACTGACTCTCTGCCTGTGGTGTTTGGGTCCATGCAGGTGTCATCATCCGAGCCCAGCATAAGGGCTGGATGGACGACAAGCTAGTCAAAAACTGGACTACTCAAGTCCTGAACCCCTTCCTTCGGTCGCTGCGCGAAGCCGACAACAGGCGCAAGGATGCGCTTGTCATCCTCGACTCCTACAAGGGGCACCTTACAGAGGCGGTCGGACAAACGATGAAGCTGTGCAAGCTGACGCGTGCAGTCATCCCTGGAGGCTGCACGCCTCTTGTGCAGCCGCTGGATGTCGCAGTCAACAAGAGCTTCAAAGCTGGTGTGCGTAGCGACTACGGCACCTGGTTCGAGGAGTTCGGCATCGACCTCAAAACAGCAGCAAGTGAACCCACTTCATGTTCCCGCTGCTTCGTTTAATGCTTCGTACACTAATCTGACCATTGTTAATGTTATTCATCGCTTTCTAAACGCTGACTTGTTGCCGTTGACCGCCACCGCTCCCTCTGCAGGAAATCTGAAAAAACCTTTAGCGGAGCTCATTCTCAAATGGATTGCACGGTCATGGGCGGCAGTTCCGGAGGAGCTCATACGGAATTCGTTCAAGACCTGTGGGATCTCGAACACGTTGGATGGCTCGGAGGACAAGTTGGCTCTCCGTCACCTCCGCGAGAAGCCGGGTGTGGAAGTCATGGACGACGTCCATGTTCAAGAGGGTGAGAGCGATTACGCGAACCCTCTGTATTGTCACAGGATCGAATGTGTCGAGGAAAGGTTTGCTCAATGTTGCACTATCATTCAGTACAAGATGCTTTTATACTTCCAAAGTACATCAGGTAACCAGGTTTATCCTATCCAAAGGAAATAGACCCTTCTAGAAATAGAATCACCCTGCGTATAGCCACGCGAGGCTATTGGCTTTAAGGGATTACGGCAGGATTACGCTAGATATAGCGCGCCAGTACATCCCGAGCCTGGTCGGTGATATAATTCTAATAACAGGATAAACCAAAGGATAATGGAAAAGGAGGAATAGGAAACCAAATGAGATGGGGTAAAGACCAAATGAATCAGGATAAAAAGAGGAATGAAATAGAAAGGAAATATGGAAAGGGGAAAATAGTGTAACGGGGTCGTACTCTCACATGTATGACCGCACGATCGACGTCGACGAGGAGCATGATGCCGCGGCGGCAGCAGAAGCCGATGGCGACATGGATGAAGTGGCAGCAGCAGCGGCAGTAGCAGAGGATGCCGACCTCTCTACAGCAGAGGCAGAGACAGCAGCAGAAGCACGAGTTGAAGACAGTGTGGAGTGGCCGGCTGAAGGCATTGCTGAAGAGGATGATAACAGCCACTGGTGGGATGAGCTGGTAGATGGGAGTGATGTTGAGGAGTGGCATGCTGGCGACGATGAAGATGATGACGAGGACGATTAGAGCACGTGGCAGAGGCAGTAGCAGCATGAGCTAGAGTAGTGGTAGCTTGTATTGTGGTCCCCTTATATAGCTCTAGGACATCCAAGCAGGCTTAGGTTTAGCTAACCTCTAATTCCAGTGAAAATTCATTGGAATGTAGTGCCCCGTTTCGGGGGAGTGTGTTCAATTGTTTTCAACCCCAAAAGTAGGGTGGTAACTAGATCCAGTTTGATTAAACACCCATACCCGCTCAAGCCACCCATGGGAGCTTAATTCCGGCGGGTACTGTATCCGGGAGAATACGGTACTAGAATTCCCCGAGGTTGATTGTGACGTACCCGGCAAAAACCCTGCCATTTGTGGCCCGCATCTCATTGATGAGGCGGTTCCAATTAGACCCGAGCACGCCCACATAGTAGTCGCAGTCAGATGAGATGAGCAAGTTCGCAAAGCTCACCCCCACCAACTGTGCCAGCCCGCACTTCCTCTCATAGTCTATTAGGCGAGTGGCGCCCTCCTGGCGCTCGTTCTGCGAGTAGAAGAAGGTCCAATCCTTGAACTGGGCTGACTGGTCGATGACAGACTGGGGGGGAACGAAGAAGGGTTTGAGGTTTATGGAAAGGAAGGGTAAGAGAAAAAAGGGGGGGGGGGAAGAAGGTGGGCCATGAGTGGAGGGTCATCCCCACTGGCTGTGCCAGCCCGCACTTCCTCTTGTAGTCTATGAGCAGCGTGGCTCCCCGCTGCCTCTCGTTCTTCGAGTAGAAGGTCCAATCCTTGAACTGGGCCGACTGGTCAATCACCGACTGAGAGCAGGGGGAGAAGAGGAAAAGGGAAAGAGAGGTGACCTTCCGAAGCACACCTGCTTGGGAACATCTCCCCTTGGGAATACACTACCTTTGAAATAATCCAACTTGGGAATACCCCACCTTTGGAATAACCCAACTTGGGATACCCCACCATTGCAATACCTCATCTTGGGAAAACCTCACCTTGGGAATGCCCCATGTTGAAAAAACCCCATCTTGGGACTGTCTCCCAAGGGGAATCCCGCTTCTTGGGAATACCTCGCCTAGATCACCTTGGGATCATCTTGGCATCACCTCACCTGCATTTCGCTGATGATCCAGACAAAGTGGATGTCCGGCACGTGCAGACAAAGGCGGTGCATGTAGAACATGAACGAGTTGAACGAGCTCAGCTTCATCTCACTGTCCACCGTCATCCACCGTCCACCGTCCACAGTCCACCGTCCACCGACCACCGTCCACCAGTGGCGGCATTCACCGTCTACCGTCCACCGGTGGACGGCGTCCACCGTCCACCGTCCAGCATCCACCGGTGGACGGCGTCCACCGTCCACCATCCAGCGCCCACCGTCCGCCCTCAACCCTCCGGCGTCCACCGGCCACCGTCAAACGTCCATCGTCCACTGGTGGACGGAGTCCACCGACTACCGTCCACCGTCCACAGTCCACCGGTGGACGGCGTCCACCGTCCACCGGTGGACGGCGTCCACCGTCTACCGTCCACCGTCAACCGTCCGGCGTCCACCGTCCATTGTCCACCGGCCACCATCCCCCGTCCCCCGTCTACCGTCCACCGTCCACTCTCTACTGTCCACCGTCCACGGTCCACAGTCCACCGGTGGACGGCGTCGACCGGCCACCATCCAACGTCCACCATCCAACGTCCACCATCCACCGTCCACCGGTGCATGGCGTCCACCGTCTACCGTCCACCGTCCAACGTCCACCGTCAACCGTCCGGCGCCCACCGTCCACCGTCCGGTGTCCACCGTCCACCGGTGGATGGCGTACACCGTCTACCGTCCATTGTCCACTGTCCACCAAAGGACGGCGTCCACCGTCCACCGTCCACCTTCCGGCGTCCACCGTCCACCGTCCACCACTCGGCGTCCACCGTCCACCATCTACCGTCCACCGTCCACTGTCTACCAGAGGACAGAGTCAACCGTCCACCGTACGGCGTTTACCGTCCGGCGTCCACTGTCCACTGTCAACCGGTGGACGGCGTCCACCGTCCACCGGTGCATGGCGTCCACCGTCAACCGTCTGGCGCTCACTGTCCACCGTCCGGTGTCCACCGTCCACCGGTGGATGACGTACACCTTCTACCGTCCACCGTCCATTGTCCACTGTCCTCCAGTGGACGGCGTCCATCGTCCAACGTCCGGCGTCCACCGTCCACCGGTCGGCGTCCACCGTCCACCGTCTACCGTCCACCATCCACCGTCCGGCGTCCAGCGTCCGGCGTCCACCGTCCACCGTCCACCGTCCGGCGTCCACCGTCCGGCGTCCACCGTCCGGCGTCCACCGTCTGCCGTCCACCCTCCGGCGTCCACCGTCCACCGTCAACCGTCCACTGGTGGACGGCGTCCACCATCTCACCGTCCACCGGTGAACGGCGTCCACCGTCCACCGGTGGACGGCGTCCACCGTCCACTGTCCGGCGTCCGGCGTCCACTGTCCACAGTCCACCGGTGGACGGCGTCCACCGTCCACCAACCACCAGCCACCGTCCACCGCCCACCGCCCACCGGTGGCGGTGCCCACCGTCTACTGTCCACCGTCCATTGGTGGACGGCGTCCACCATCCACCGTCCACCGTTTTGGCGTCCACCGACCAACGTCCACCGTCCGGCGTCCACCGTCCGGCGTCCACCGTCCACAGTCCACCGACCACCGTCCACCGGTGGCGGCGGCGTCCGCCGTCTACCGTCCACTGTCCACTGGTGGACGGTGTCCACCGTCCACTGTTCGGCGTCCACCGTCCACTGTCCACTGTCCACTAGTGGACGGCGTCCACCGTCCACCAGTCGGCGTCCACCTTCCACCCTCTACCGTCCACCGTCCACCGTCTAGCGTCCACCGTCCACCGTCCGGCGACCACCGTCCGCCGTCCACCGTCCGTCCTCCACAGGTGGACGGCGTCCACCGTCCATCGGCCACCGTCCACCGTCCACTGTCCCCTGATGGGTCCACCCTCTACCGCCCACCGTCCACCGTCCACAGTCCACCGGTGGACGCCGTCCATCGTCCACCGTCCATCGGCCACCGTCCACCCTCTACCGTCCACCGTCCACAGTCCACAGTCCACAGACCACAGTCGACCGGTGGACGGCGTCCACCGTCTACCGTCCACCGTCCACCATCCACAGTCCACTGGTGGGCAGCGTCCACCATCCACCGTCGACCGTCCATCGTCCCCTGGTGGACGGCGTCCACCCTCTACCGTTCACCGTCCACAGTCCACTGGTGGATGGCGTCCACCGTCTACCGTCCACCGTCCGGCGTCCACCGTCCACCGTCCATCGTCGACCGTCCACCGTCCGGCGTCCACTGTCCACCAGTGGATGGCGTCTACCGTCTACTGTCCACCGTATACCGGAGGACAGCGGCCACCGTCCACTGTCCATTGTCCACCAGTGGACGGCGTCCACCGTCCACCACTGTCTACCGTCCACCGTCCATCAGTGGACGGCGTCCACCGTCCACCATCCAGAGTCCACCATCCACCGTCCACAGTCCACTGGTGGACGGCGTCAACCGTCCCCAGTCCATCGTCCACCGGCTACTGTCCACCATCCACCGTTCACAGTCCACCGTCCACCGTCTATCGTCCATCGTCCACCGTTGGGCGGCGCCCACCTCTACCGTCCATCGTCAACCGTCCGGCGTCTGCCGTCCACCGTCCACCGGTCGGCGTCAACCGCCACCGTCCACCATCTACCGTCCACCGGTGGACGGCGTCCACTGTCCACCATGCGGCGTCCACCGGTGGACGGCGTCTACCGTCCGCCGTCCACCGTCAACCGTCCGGCATCTTCCGTCCACCGTCCACTGGTGGATGGCGTCCACCGTCTACCATCCACCGGTGGATGGTGGACGGCGTCCACCGTCCATTGTCTACCAATGGACAGAGTCAACCGCCCACCATTCGGCGTTTACCATCTGGCGTCCACCGTCCACCGGTGGACGACGTCCACCGTCCACTGTCCACTGTCCACTGTCCACCGGCCACCGGCCACCGGCCACCGTCCACCGTCCACCGTCCACCGTCCACCGTCCACCATCCACCGTCTACTGTCGACCGTCCACTGGTGGACGACGCCACTCTCTACTGTCCACCGTCCACAGTCCACCGGTGGACGGCGTCGACTGGCCACAACCAACGTCCACCATCCACCGTCCACCGGTGCACGGCGTCCACCGTCTACCGTCCACCGTCCACAGTCCACCGTCTACAGTCCGACGTCCACCATCCACCATAAATCGTCGAGCGTCCACCCTCCACCGTCCGGCGTCCACCGTCTACTGTTCACCGTATACCGGTGGACGGCGTCCACCGTCCAGTGTCCAGTGTCCACTGTTCACTAGTGGACGGCGTCCACCGTCCACCGTCCACCGTCCACCGTCCACTGTCCACCGGTGGACGGCGTCCACCGTCTACCGTCCACCGTCCATCGTCCACCGATGGACCGCCTCCACCATCCACCGTCCGGCGTCCACCGGTGGATGGCGTCCACCGTCCACCATCCACCGTCCGGCGTCCACCGTCTGCCGTCCACCCTCCGGCGTCCACCGTCCACCGTCCACAGTCCACTGGTGGACGGCGTCAACCGTCCCTTGTCCACCGTCCATAGTCCACAGTCCACCGGTGTACGGCGTCCACCGTCTTCCGTCCACCATCCACCGGTGGACAGCGTCCACCGTCCACCGTCTGTCGTCCACCGCCCACCGGCCACTGGTGGACGGTGTCCACCGTCTACTGTCCACCATCCACCGTCCACCGGTGGACGGCGTCCACCATCCACCGTCTATCGTCCACCGTCCACCATCCGGCGTCCACTGTCCATCATCCACCGTCCGTCGTCCACCGTCCACCGTCATGCGTCCACCGTCCACTGGTGGACGGCGTCCACTGGCCACCATCCACCGTCCACCGTCTACCGTCTGGAGTCCACTGTCCACCCCCCACCGTCCACCAGTGGAGGGCGTCCACCGTCTACCGTCCACCGTCCACTCCACCGTCCACTGTCTACCGGCCACCGTCCACCGTACACCCTCCACCGTCCACCGTCGACCGTCCATCGTCCACCGTCTACCGTCCACCGTCCACTGTCTACCGGCCACCGTCCACCGTCCACCGTACACCCTCCACCGTCCACCGTCGACCGTCCACCGTCCACCGTCCACCGTCTACTGTCCACCGTCCACCGTCCCCATCGCACTGGGAATGCCTGGCCTTGGGGATAACTACCTTGGTGCATAGTGCCAACTGCTCACCTTGGGAAACCTCACCCCCGGAGGATATTACTTACCTGCATTTCGGTGCTGATCCAGACAAAGCGAATGTCCGGCACGTGCAGCCTGAGGCGGTGCATGTAGAACATGAAGGAGTTGAACGAGCTCAGCTTCATCTCACTGCCCTTGTCGCCCTGCCGGATGTGCAGGCTCACCATCGGCCGAGGCAGGTACACCTCCCTCCCGACCTGGTCGTATAGGTTTGTCAGATAGGCTCGGAAGGTGGGTGCAGGTCCGGGAGAGCTGGCCGACCCTGAGCAGCTGCTGATGCCGAGCCCGGGCCAGGCCCGGACGTGCATGGTAGGGTCGGCGAAGGAAAGGAAAGACGGGTCGGTATGGTTGAGACTCAGGGGGCGAAGAGGCGACGATGTTGATGTAGAAGCTGTGGCAGCAGCAGCAGAAGCATCACTAGCAGCATCAGCGGCAGTAGTAGCAGCATCAGTGGCAGCAGCCGGGGAGGAGGAGAGTTGGTGGTTGTAGAGTCGGAGGAGGGCGGCGCTGCGCTCCCTGGCTTGCATGGTGTGGGCGGCCACTCGCAGCCCGTACGACCCGTGGCGAATCTTGTTGGTGAGGTGGCACAGGTAGGGCGACGGCCAGCGCAGCATGAAGCGCAGTGCCTGGGCGCGCCACCAGTGCACCTGAGAGGGATGGGATGGGGGGTGGGGGGGCGGGGGGGGTCATTGTGTGGGCTGGGCAGAGATTGCATGAGGGTTGGTGGGGTGGCAGAGGTGCGGCGACGGCCAGCGCAGCATGAAGCGCGGGGCTTGGGCCCGCCACCAGTGCACCTGATGGGAGGGGGGGAGGGAAGGGGAACAGGTTGCATTTGGGATTTCATGAGGGTTGGTGAGGTGGCAGAGGTGCGGTACGGCCAGTGCAGCATGAAGCGCGGGGCTTGGCTGCGCCACCAGTGCGCCTGAGAGGGATGGGGACATGGATGGATGGGCGTGAAGGATGGTCCTTCTCCACCCGGCCCCTTCACCTTACCCTCTCCACCTACCCACACCCCACGCCACCTCTCTGCATCTCTCACCTGGAGCAGCATCGAATGGTCCCTCAACCAACCCCTGCACCTCACTCTGCCATCTGAATCGACACAAAACACACCATCTGCTCCCCACGTCCCTCACCATCCCCGTATTCCCCTATCTATTCCCATATCGCCCTCACTATCCCCATAATTCTCTCACTATCCCCATAATTCTCTCACTATCCCCATAATTCTCTCACTATCCCCATAATTCTCTCACTATCCCCATAATTCTCTCACTATCCCCATAATTCTCTCACTATCCCCATAATTCTCTCACTATCCCCATAATTCTCTCACTATCCCCATAATTCTCTCACTATCCCCACAATTCTCTCACTATCCCCATAATTCTCTCACTATCCCCATAATTCTCTCACTATCCCCATAATTCTCTCACTATGCCCATAATTCTCTCACTATCCCCATAATTCTCTCACTATCCCCATAATTCTCTCACTATCCCCATAATTCTCTCACTATCCCCATAATTCTCTCACTATCCCCATAATTCTCTCACTATCCCCATAATTCTCTCACTATCCCCATAATTCTCTCACTATCCCCATAATTCTCTCACTATCCCCATAATTCTCTCACTATCCCCATAATTCTCTCACTATCCCCATAATTCTCTCACTATCCCCATAATTCTCTCACTATCCCCATAATTCTCTCACTATCCCCATAATTCTCTCACTATCCCCATAATTCTCTCACTATCCCCATAATTCTCTCACTATCCCCATAATTCTCTCACTATCCCCATAATTCTCTCACTATCCCCATAATTCTCTCACTATCCCCATAATTCTCTCACTATCCCCATGTCCCTCACCATCCCTCAAGACAAACCTGAGGTCGTCTGTCTGCACCTATCCCTGCAGCTGAGACAGTCGTCAAGGAAACAGACTCGGAAGGCAAAGAACTCACTTTGAGCAGCCTGGGGTCGTCAGGCTGCACCTGCCCCTGCAGCTCAACCACGTTGGGCCGCTCCAAGTACGCCGTGCCCCACCGGCTGCCAGGAGACACAAGGGGGGGAAGGAGGGGGGTGCAATGAATGAGGGTTGAGGCAGCTCGAAAAGCCCTCCAAGTAAGCCGTGCCCCACCGGCTGCCAGGAGACTGGGGAGGAACAACAGGGAGACGGGGGAAACGGAAGCACCTCAGCTTTCCACCTCAGCTCTCCACCTCAGCTCTCCACCTCAGCTCTCCACCTCAGCTCTCCATCTCAAGTGTCCGATGCATATCTCATGCTGAGATCCATACAAGAGTCCGATGTGCAGTTCTCTCACATTGCAATGCTGCAGCCTTCAAGGCCACCTCTCGCCATCACCGCACCCTGCCAGCACTGGGCTCGTGCATCTCTCTCACCTTGCAACCCCTCACCTGGCCGCACTGGGCTCGTGCATCTCGATTCTCTCTCACCTTGCAACCCCTCACCTGGCCGCACTGGGCTCGTGCATCTCGATTCTCTCTCACCTTGCAACCCCCCCACACGTCCCCACACCACTCACCTGGCCGCATTGGCCTCGTGCATGGGTCCGTTGAACGGCTCGTGGTGGAAGCACACAATGGGTTGAGCCGACACAAATGGTGCTGGGCCACAGACGGGCACAGACCTGCTGCTGTTGGCCCATCTAGTCGCCTCTCCCCTTGCAACGTTCTGCCTCCAACCTCACCTCACAGCCCTGGCCTCATGCATGAGCCCGTTGCATCCCCCACACACCCCTCACCTCACAGCGCTGGCCTCATGCATGAGCCCGTTGCACGGCTCGTGGTGGAAGCACACAACGGGGTGGTCTGACCCAAGCAGCGCTTGCTTCAACAACCACCTTGCCCTCCACGCACATCTCACCTGGCCACACTGGCATTATGCATACCTCACAGCGCTGGCCTCATGCATGAGCCCGTTGCACCGCTCGTGGTGGAAGAACACAGCAGGGTGGTCTGAACCCAGCACCTCCTCGTTGGTTTTGGGCGTGCTGCAAGGGGGGAGGGAGGGCCCCGCTGCTGCTGGCTTATTATCATCTCTCCCCTTGCATCCCCCACGCACCCCTCACCTGACAACACTGGCCTCGTTCATGAGCCCGTTGAAGGGCTCGTGGTGGAAGCACACCACGGGGTGGTCTGACCCCAGCACCTCCTCGTTGGTTTCAGGCGTGCTGCAGGGGGGAAGAGCCCCGCTGCTGTTCGCCTTGAGAGCAATGGCCTCGCAGTCTGGGGAGACCAGAGGGAAGAAGTAGCAGTCGAACGTGCCCCATGATCCCGTGGCTGAGGGAAGGGGGAGGGGTGGAAGAAGGAGAGTGGATAGTGGGAAAGGGAACGTGCTGGCCTTGCAAGCCATGGCCTCGCCTCGCAGCCTGGCAAGACCAGAGGGAAGAAGTAGCCGTCAAACGTGCCCCATGCTCCTGTGGCGGGAGGGCGAGTGGAAAAGAAAAGAACCGGGAAAGGAGGAGGAGGAGGAGGAGGAGGAGGAGGAGGAGGAGGAGGAGGAGGAGGAGGAGGAGGAGGAGGAGGAGGAGGAGGAGGAGGAGGAGAGCCCCGCTGCTGTTGGCAACAGGTGTGGGCATGAGCAGGAGTGGGCGAGAGCAGGTGTGGGCGAGAGCAGGTGTGGGCGAGAGCGGGTGTGGGCGAGAGCACCAAGATGCGCCAAAGAGAAGCCGGTGGAGGAGGGGGAGGGGGGGAAGGGGGTGGGGAGGGGAGGGCGGAAGGAGGAAAGAGAGGGAAGATGTGCAAGGCTTGTTTGTTAAGTGAAAGCACTGGGATGTGAACCCAGAAAGAGGCGGATGGAGGAGGGGGAGGGGCGACTGGAAGGAGAAAGCTCACAAACACAGGCACCAGTTTTGCAGAGTATGGTTGATGCATGGGCACCAAAAACCGTATCTCTCATCTCCCTTTTTCACACAGACGTTGAATGCACTCACCATGTAAGCATACTCACCATGTAAGCACGCTCACCATTGCACTCGCTGTGCTTGGCGCGGTCGAACGTCTGATACATGGGCACCAGGATGCGATTGTGGCGCATGGCCAGGCTGAGAATGGCCGTCATTATGTGCACCTGGGGCAGCAAGGAGGGAAGAGGGGGGGAGGATGGGAGGGAAGGGGTGGGGTGGGGTGGGAATGGGAAGGGAAAATGCAGTTGTGGCACAAGGAGAGGCTGAGAATGGCCGTCGTTACGCGCACCTGGGGCAGAAATGAGGGAAGAGGGGGAGTAGAGAGGGGGGGGAAGGGGGGGGGAGGGGGGGGGGGAAGGGATTGGCAACGGAAAATGAAGGGTGTGAGGAGGGGCGGGTGGGAGGGGTTAGAGAATGGTTAGGGAGGGGACGGAGGTGGTTGTGGGGGCGCATGGCTAGGCTGAGAATGGCCGTCATCACGTGCGCCTGGGGCAGAACCGAGGGAGAGAGAGAAGAAGAGGGGGCGGAGGAAGGGCGGTTGAGGCGCATTGGAAGACCCAGAATAGCCGCCGTTACATGCACCTGTGAAATGGAATGTCTCTCACCTACCTGCGGCGACCCTATCCTGTGCGCGTTGTATGAGCAGCCTCCTCCCCTCACACCTATTGGGCTTGAACAGAATGGGATGTCGCAACTACCTGTCTGTAGCCCTAAGCAATAGTGTAAGAGAGCTTGAATTAACGCCATCTTTAATACCTGCGACCCTATCCCATGGGCGATGTAGGACCAGCGTGCGATGAGCAGCTTCCTCCCCTCGCACTTATTGGGCGGGAACTGGTGCTCCCAGATGTCCCTCTGGGCTACACGTGTCATTCCCAGATTCGCTGCATCTGAACCGCGGATCTGCAGGGAAGGGGGATTAGGAAGCCAACGGGAAGGACGGGATGGGGCCACGGGAGAGAAGGAGGGGAGGTGGAAATGGCAGAGAAGGAAGAGTCTAATTTTTAGGCGCCTCAAAAAGGAAGGAGGGGCACACGAGAAGGGGGATAAGGGGGGTGGAAATATGGGGGGTGTGGCTTGCCGGGTGATGCGGTTTAGGGTTACGAGCTTGTAAGGTGTAAGGGAAGGGATGGTTTGGAACGGGAACAATGCACGAGGTGAGAAAGAAGATGCAAGGAATGGGGAACTGTTTGATCTTTTGCACTCTCAGCATGCCTGCCAGAGGAAGCATGTGAACGAGCACGAATGAAACAATAAGGACTTGGCCAATTCCGGCACCAATTGTTTGTTCAACACTTGCACAACGATCACACACCCATGGTGGTTGTGGGTTGCAGCCGCAGCAGTCCTTAGGTCGAGCCCACTCAGGCGACTCGCCATTGGGTCCCTGCTCCTCCGCTGCCCTCCTGTGCTGGGACACCTCCCTGCACGCCTCCAAATGCGGAGCTGCTGCCACGTCAGCGGGCAGGGAGATATTTTCCGGTGGCAGAATGGATTCTTTTTGCAGCCCGTACGCCTCCTCCCATTGCTGTGAGTGAAAAGGAGGGCGCGGAAAGAGATGGAGCTCGCAGGAGGCGTTGGGGAAAGAAGTGAGGAGTGGAAAGTGGAGAGTGGGGTTCGGTCAGAGAGATAGAGCAAATGGCACAGAGCGCCTGTGCTGAAGGTACCCGGAAGCTGCTAAAATAACAGATTTAGGGACAAGCGGCCGAAACTACTAGAGAACAGGACGATAAGAACGCTTTAGGGCGATGTGAGTGGAGACTGCGCACGCGGAGAAAGGAGAAAGAAGAAGGGAGAAGGGAGAAGGGAGAAGGGAGAAGGGAGAGAGGAGGGACGAGGGGAATCCTAGAAGGCACTAAAACGGCTGACAGAACATTGAAAAACACCTTGTTTTGAGATGTCTTACAAAACACCTTGTTTTGAGATGTCTCACAAAGCACCTTGTTTTGAGATGTCTCACAAAGCACCTTGTTTCGAGATGTCTCACAAAGCACCTTGTTTTGAGATGTCTCACAAAGCACCTTGTTTTGAGATGTCTCACAAAGCACCTTGTTTTGAGATGTCTCACAAAGCACCTTGTTTCGAGATGTCTCACAAAGCACCTTGTTTCGAGATGTCTCACAAAGCACCTTGTTTCGAGATGTCTCACAAAGCACCTTGTTTCGAGATGTCTCACAAAGCACCTTGTTTTGAGATGTCTCACAAAGCACCTTGTTTTGAGATGTCTCACAAGCACCCGGGAGAGCTTCGAAACAGGCGGCGAATTTTCCACAGGACACACCTTGAAGAGCTCCTGGCCGCGTTTGAGGCCTTCGTCTGCGTGCAACCTCCCGCCGTCTAGATGATCGCCTACCGCCAGTGAGCGAGGTAGAAGCAGTAACGCAACACTAACGACGTGAAATAGCGCGTGAATGTTCATGGCGTACGCTCCATGCACTTCTGGTTCGGAATTGACTCGACTTACGGTCTCGAATCAACGTAAAAAGAGCACGTCGCGATTCTAAAGCTCGACGCACTCTAAGCTCGTCCTCGTCCTGAACGCCTATTGGATCGGAAAGAGCAGCGATGAGAACAAACAGCGAGCCTGGTTGTGTTTTGAGTCGACTCAAAATACAACTGAACAGCGAGCCTGAGCGTCGAATGCGAGAAGTAGCCAGTCCTCGGAAAAGCCAAGCAAAGCCGAGCCACCAGCATTATCCGCGATGCACGTCGCACCTCGATATCCGTGTAATCACATGACTTGAATATTCAGACAAAGATTCGATTTCCATTCTTGCAATAATCAAGAGCTTCTAAACTTAGAATTGAAAAAGATATCACACGCCATCATTAGCAAACCACTACATTGAATATTTTCCAAGATGCATACTGTTGGATGCCTTGTTCTCATCACAATTTATCACACAACGGTGGGCAAATGGCCTTCCTTGATGTCGTTGGAGCAGTGCGACGGGATGCAATGCATGGCAAGAATCTCCGGGGTCGCTGCCTTGGCCTTCGCTGTTTCCAGCACCAGCACCTGCACCCACCCATGGATACGGAAAACACGGTTACACGCATGCAGAAAATTGTACTGAATGTGCAAAAAGCATTGGAGATGGAGGGGGGAAGTGAGCCAGCAGGAGGAAACAGGAGTGTGAAAGCCAATTTCCACGCACTCCTGGTCTTAGCTGAGGCCAAACTGCAGGAATGGCTCGGTGCATTTCACCATAAGCTGTGTTTAGACATCTCAAAAACAATTAGCCTACCTGCTCGTACTCGAGGTCAAAGTGCAGGAATGGCTCGGTGCACCACTCTTTTCAGCTGTTGAAAACCAATTCCCCCAACCCCACACCCACCTGGTCGTAGTCGAGGTCAAACTGCATGAACGGTTCGGTGCACTCCTCCACCAGCCGCGCCAGCTGCAGCAGATTCTTCACCGGCGCCCCGTTAAAGCCCACCACCTGACGCGGGGTGATTAGTATGGGTGGAAAGCATAGAAGCGGGACAGGGTCGGTGTACGACGCACATAGAACATGGTGAACGCAGATGCATGGGGACGGGTGGGTGCAGCAGGTTCTTTACCAGCACCCCATTGAACCCCACCAGCTGGGGTGTAAAGCAGGAGGGGAGACTGGTGGTATCGGATAAGGTCAGTCCGTGGTACGCAGCAGGTGAAAGGGGCAGGTTGGGGTGAGCAGATGAATGGGGCACTGTGTGGAGCGGGGAGATGGGGCCGGGGGAAAGACAATCAACTTACTGGAGTGTACACAACACGCCACACCCCACACCTGAGTCTGCCACTTCAGCTCAGCCCACACCTCACCCCTCACCTGAGAGTTGACCACTTCCTCCTAGCCAATGTTCACATCTGCCACCAGCACCGTTTCAACCCACACCCCAGACCTGAATGTGCCACTTGAGCCCACACTCCTCACCTGCGTGTTGAACACCTCCTCATAGCCAATGTTCACATCTGCCACCAGCACCGTTTCAACCCACACCCCAGACCTGAATGTGCCACTTGAGCCCACATTCCTCACCTGCGTGTTGACCACCTCCTCATAGCCAATGTTCACATCTGCCACCAGCACCTGCCCATGGAGAGAGGCGCACAGTGTTGGAAGAAAGGCATCCCATGAGAGTGAACTCGCAGTACATGCGTTACAACTACAACCCGTTACAATCACACACTGGTTACCATTAGCCAACTGCCATGAAGCGCACCTGTGATGTAACAACGACTTGCTCGTCGTCTGCCTGCCGCATGCGGTGCATGGCCTTCACTGGCTGTATCACATACCCACTATAATCACACACACTAGTTACAATCACAAACCAACTATAACAACCTACCTGTGAGATGACGACGACTTGCTCGTCGTCCGCCTGCCGAATTCGGTGCATCAGCTTGTCCAGCAGCTTCACTGGCTGAATCTCCTACCTAAAGATCACACACTAGTTACAATCACACACGTGCTATAGTCACACCCGCTATAATCACCCACCTGTGAGATGACGACCACCTGCTCATCGTCCGCCTGCCTCATTCGGTGCATCAGCTTGTCCAGCAGCTTCACCGGCGCGTCGTAGTCATAGTCCTTGCCGTACTGCCAGGCCAGCATGCAAAGGGACAGGGATTCGGCAGGAACAACGGTAAGGCAATAATGGGGGGGTCCTGGTGTATTTTGAGTCGACTCAAAATACAACGGTCAGGCAATAATGGGGGGGTCCTGGGTGGCATGAGCTTACCCAGACGCTTCACCAGCGCGTCATAATCGCAGTCCTTGCTGTAATGCCAGCAAGCGAACGGGGGAAGAGGAGAGTTGCATGGGCACCTTTGCATGCGATATTGCCTTACTCCGCACTGTCCTCCTGGCGTCCCACCCACCCTGGCGTCCCACCCACCCTGGCGTCCCACCCACCCTGGCGTCCCACCCTGGCGTCCCACCCTGGCGTCCCACCCACCCTGGCATCCCACCCACCCTGGGGTCCCACCCTCACCGCTGCCATGAGATACGGCAGAGTGACGTTTCTAGCCAACCTGAAAGCGTCACCTCGGCCTGTGATACGGCATTGTAACCCAGGTGAACATGATACCAGCCACAATTAAGTACCAAGGCAGCAAGCCCCGCAGGTGCACCGGGACCAGGCGCTTGTGGCACTGCAGAGCAGAGCTTACCGTTGAAGACAATCCCGAGGCCACAGTTGCCTCACCTCTGCCTTGAGGTACGGCACAGTGACCCATGTGAACACAATCCCAGCGACAATGAAGTAGGATGGCGGCAGCCCCGCTATGTGCACCGGCACCAGGCGCTTGTGCCTCCTAAAAGCACACCTCTCACTCCAGCTCAACCACCTTGCCCTACGGAACCTAAAGCCTCACCTCTGCCTTGAGGTACGGCACAGTGACCCAGGTGAACACGATCCCAGCCACGATGAAGTAGGAGGGCGGCAGCCCCGCTATGTGCACCGGCACCAGGCGCTTGTGGCGCCTCAGCTCCACCTCCAGCTCCAGCACCTTGCCGCCCCGCAGCACCTGGATCTGCGCCGTCTCGCCCTCGTACTTCTGAGAGACGAGATAGCTGAAGCCAATGCGTTCGCCCTTGCGGAAGGGCACTGGGGGGGGAAGCGAGCGGAGAAAGGGTTGTTGCAGGCGGGTGGGGGGGGGGGAGGGGAGGGGGGAGAGGGGGCCAGAGTGGAAGAGTGCGGGTTGAGGAGGCTTAAAGCACCAGGCGCTTGTGCCTCCTCAGCTCCACCTCCAGCTCCAGCACCTTGCCGCCCCGCAGCACCTGGATCTGAGCCGTCTCGCCCTCGTACTTCTGAGAGACGAGATAGCTGAAGCCAATGCGCTCGCCCTTGCGGAAGGGCACTGGCGGAGGGGTTGAAGGGGGTGAAGGGGAAGGACGGTGGGTGAGAAAGGGGTCATGGGGGGTGGGGGAAGAGTGAAGGAGGGGGGGTTGAAGTGCCCTAGCACCAGGCGCTTGTGGCGCCTCAGCTCGACCTCTAGATCCAGCACCTGGCCACCCCGCAGAACCTGGATCTGCACCGTCTGGCCCTTGTACTTCTAAGCGACCAGGCAGCTGAAGCCGATGCGCTGCTCCCCCTTGCGGAGGGGCACTGGGGGGAAAGGAGGGGAAGGACGGAGGAAGAGGGGAAGGAAGGATAAAGAGGGGAAGTGGTGCAAGGGAGGGGGGTATTGAGCGTCACCGCAGCACGTGGATGTGCACCGTCTCGCCCTCGTACTTCTGAGATACCAGGTAGCTCAAGCCTGAAGCCGATGCGGTCACCCTTGCAGAAGGGCACTAGGGGGGAAGGGGAACGAAGGTAGGAAGGAAGGAGTGGGGGTGGGGGGTGGGAGATCCCCTAGACTTGAAACTCTGCCGAGGGTTTGGTAGCAATACCCTGGCCTGGTGGGTGAGTGAAGAGACACACCTGTGCCATCATTGGCCACCGCCACGCCATCAAACAAGAGCAGAATGTCCGACGTCTGTAGCAGCTGGGCTGCAAGGGAGGTGACTAACACACACACACACACATGCGCCCAGACAACCCTCCCTCCCCCCCATCACTGGCCACAGCAACACCATCAAACAGAATGTCTGACGTCTGCAGCAGGTGGGCCACAGGGGTTTTGAGGTGACTAACATCCCCCCTCCCCCCTCCCCCCTCCCCCCTCCCCTCTCCACCAACACGCACACTCACGCACCTGTGCCACCATTGGCCACCCCCACGCCATCAAAGGACAGCACAACGTCCGACGTCTGCAGCAGAGGCGCCACAGGGGAGGTGACTAACGCACACACCCCCATGCGCGCCCACCCACCCACACCAGCCCCCTTTCCCCCCCATAGACACGCACCTGTGCCATCATTGGCCACCGCCACGCCATCAAAAGACAGCAGAATGTCAGACGTCTGCAGCAGCTGCGCCGCAGGGGAGGTCGGCTCCAGGCGCCGCACTCTCACGCCCTTCTGCCCCGCCTCCATCCCCAATGCCTTGCGCATGTCTGGGTTCTCCATCTTCTGCCACTCCACTCCCAGGATGGGGAAGCCTGAGGGGGGGGGAGAGGGGGAGTTGATGTGGAAAAAACGAAACAGAGGAAGGGGGAGAAACCATACGTCATATTCACCCCTTCTGCCCCGCCTCCATCCCCAGCGCCCTGAGCATGTCTTTGTTCTCCATCTTCTGCCACTCCACTCCCAGGATGGGGAAGCCTGAGGGGGGGGAGAGGGGGAGTTGTTGTGGAAAAAACGAAACAGAGGAAGGGGGAGAAACCATACGTCATATTCACCCCTTCTGCCCCGCCTCCATCCCCAGTGCCTTGCGCATGCCTTTGTTCTCCAGCTTCTGCCACTCCACTCCCAGGATGGGGAAGCCTGGAGCGAAAGAGAGAGAGGGGCAGGGAGAGAGAGCGGGAACAGAACAAGGTGGTTTTAAGTCGAATAACGACAGAATTCAGCACCTTTCACCTTCTGCCCCGCCTCCATCCCCAGCGCCCTGCGCATGTCTGGGTTCTCCATCTGCTGCCACTCCACTCCTAAACTGGGGAAGCCTGGAGGAAAAAGTGATAGTTGTGGGTTCTCCCTCTGCTGCCACTCCACGGCCAAGATGGGGAAGTGTGAGGGGGGAGGAGGGGTTGCTGTGGGGAGGGTCGTTTGGTGGGGTTGGGGTGGGAGGGGGGGTTTTGAAGAGTGAAAGTGTGGATGGAAGGGTTGACGAGTGAGCTGAGGCATTCCATCCTTCTGCTTTCAGTCCACCCACCCACCGGTTTTGAGTCGACTCAAAAGCTTCTTTCAGTCCAGTCCACCCACCGGTGTAGTGCCCGTTGTGGTCACATTCCGAGATGAAGTGGTTGATAACCGGCGCGGGGATGATATACCCGATGTTAGACCTGGGCAGAAGCCGAGCCACACCCGGCTCGGCTCGGCTTGGCTCGTCACCATTTTTTACGGCGAGCCGGGGCAATCCGGCTCGCCCCTGGCTCGATTTCGAGCCAAGTGGCTCGCGCCTCGGTATTTGGGGGGATTCGCGTGGGTACAGTTTTTAGATCAATGAAACACTATCCTCACAGACTAGTACCACGCCATCCCCACCCCAATCCCACCAACCCTAGCCAGCAACTACATCGTTTGTACGTTGCGCGCACCTTAGCTAGTTTCAAAGCACCAACTGGTCTAGATTAGGAGTTCATGTAGGGCTTGGCAAACTCAATCCCCGCAGCGGACCTAGTCAAAGCTGGCAAACAGGGGCCCGCAAAAACCACTAACCCCTAAAACCAGCAAGGCGAGCCGAGCCGGGCATCTCGGGGTCCTGGCTCGACGGCGAGCCGGCTCGACTCGACCCAAAACGAGCCGAGCCGAGCCAGGCTCGGCTCATGCCCACGTCTACCCGATGTTCTCCGCCTCCTCCCCTCTCATCCACTGGAATGCGATCCCCACACACTCGCCAGACGTGTTGAGCGCAGGCTTCCCGGACTCACTGGAAGCGGGCCCTCCAGAGTTCCCTCCCTACGTTGAGTGGCATGCATTCTGTGTATCGATGGCCTCGGAAGAGGTTCACCCACCTGTGTAGTGGCCGTTGCGGTCGTAATCGGATATGAAGTGGTTGATCACGGGTGTGGGGATGATGTACCCAATGTTCTCCGCCTCCTCGCCCCGCATCGACTGGAATGCGATTCCCACACACTCGCCAGACGCGTTGAACGCCGGCCCTCCAGAGTTGCCCGAGTTGATGGCTGCATCGATCTGCACGCCCAGCAGCTCCGACGCGCCGTGCACGTACGCCGTGACCTCGATGCGCGACACCACCCCACTTGTGACTGAGATGGTGTCCCCGCCTATCGGGTACCCAACCACTGTTACAGGGTCCTGGGGGGGGAGGTGGGGAAAGGGAGGGGGTGGGGATTGCACATGGTCTACAAGGTTTGTTTTCTGGAGAATGAGGCATGGAGCATGGAATGGATCATGGAGCACAGAATATAGGGCTTACAACTGCAAGTGGGAAGTCCGTTCCCGATATACCTGCAGGTGTGGGAGCGATCCTAGCTTGAGCGGCTGGACGTCCTTCCAGAACTCATCGTCCTCCACTGACAGGAGCGCTGAGACATGGAGGGGGGTCCGGTATGGGAGTAAGGGGGTAGGAGGTGGCACAGGCAAGTGAGGGGTTATGAGTTGGCTCAAAAGTAACTCAGCTTGAGTGGCTGAACGCCCTTGCAGGTGGGGTAAGGGTGTTAGGGGAAAGGAAGGAAGATCAAGTGAGAAAGGTAGGAGGAGAAATAGGGAAAAGCAAGGTACGAGTGCGAACTGAAAATGCTTGGCGAAAGGATGCGGAAGAGGGCAACCTAGTGGCCACACTGCTGGCGTATTGTACCTATATCGCACTCTGTGCCCACTGCAAGCACGGTTGCCAGGTACTTGGTGTCTGATCCTCTCTTCTTCACCTTCACCTGGGGATTGGAGGGCAAGAGAATGGAGGGCAAGAGTACGGAAGTGAAGGGGGGCTCAGTGGGCCACAGCCAGCACAGCAGCCAGGTACTTGGTTTGGTGTCCGATCCTCTCTTGTTCATCTGGTGAATGGGGGAGGGAGTAGGGCATGGACCAGGAGGATGCAGAAAAGGAGATTGGAGGTGGGGAGATGGAGAAGAAGAGGATCGGGGCTTGATCGAGAAACAGAATGGAAGTAGTAAGGATGCAGGCGACGGGGTGCGCCATCTACTGCTGTGCTGATACATCACGAATCAGTCGACTACCAATCCAATCCCTACCCTCTGCTGAGCCCTTAGCAAGCACCAGCAACGGGTGCTTTTGCTGGGCATGTGGAATCAGCTGTTGGAATGAAACCAGTTCCTGGCGTCATCTATGATGATTTGGAAAGTTACGATCTTACCACCTGCGTCACGCACGCTCACCTGCGTGTGGTGCTCACCTGCGTGTGGTGCTCCACAGAGTGAGCGTTGGTGAGCACACGACGATTCTCGATGATGAACCCACTGCTGTTGGAACTGTTGCAAGGGAGAACGCGTGAGAGCAAGGGGGTAGAATGGGTAAGGGAGGAGAAGCGGGTGAGGGAGCAATGGAGAGGTGGAGCGGGAGAACGTGTAATGAATCGATTTTTGAGTCGACTCAAAAATCGACTCATTACACACTGAGGTAGACCTGAAGAACCAAATACGAATTCGAGTTCGAGTTCCACATTCGAATAATTGTCGAATATCACGATACAAATTATTTGTTCGAGTTGTGTTTGGAATTCGAATACGAATTCGAGTCGAATAGAGTCGAGTCCGAGTCGAATACGAATGCACTCGAGTTTTGGGCATATGAGCGTTTACAAGCTTTGTGAAGTTACCCTTGGAGTTTGTTGTCGGTTTTTTGGGCGTTGCCGTGCTTGCAGGTTTGCACAAGAAATTGGAGGGGTTGTACGAGTGGCAAGTGAAGCTTTTTAGCAGCATCGCGTAGCATCGAAAGCATTAGGACCTTTGATGCTAGGCAATTCAATGCTAGTAGGAGCCAGGTATGTCCAAACTCGAGTACTAAAACGAGTACTCGAGTTATGGCTGGGCGAATACGAATTCGAGACGAATATTGGAAGTCGAGTTTTGGCGAGTTTGAACAGCCACATAGACTCGATTTGTATTGGAAATTCGTCCGAATTCGAATACAAATTCGAATATAGTCTACTCGTTTTCAGGTCTACACTGAGGGAGCAATGGAGAGGAGGAGCGGGAGAACGCATGAGAAAGGGAGGACGTGTATCCAAGCGCAGCGCAGTATGAGAGAATTACACAGGATCAGGAGCACAAAAGAAGGTTCAACAGAATGAAACGCACAGCAGCAACTGTGCACACCATCGCTGCTCTGCATCCTCTGCACCTTTAAAGCCCAGTCAACCTTCAGTACCGATCATCCCCACCATTCCGGCCTACCTGTACTGCCGCTTCCGCTGCCAGGGCAGAGAGAAGTTGGGGTCAGTATGCACGCAGAACACCTTCACAACCGAGTCCAACGCCTTCTCATCCCTCACTATCGCACTCCCTGCCCCCCCCGCCTCATGCACTATCTCCTGCAACTCCTCCCCGCCTCTCCCCGCCCCTCCTGCCGCCCCCGTCCCCCCAGCACTTCCCCCGCCCCTTCCCCCTTTCCCTGCTGCGCCTCCCTCCCCCTCGTCATTGAGAGGCGGGGCTGGGGAGCGCTTTCTGGGGCCTCTTCCGCCCTTCTTCCCCCCGCCTGCCGCTCCCCCTGGGGACATGCGGTGGTCAGGGGAGACTAGCACAGCGCTACCCTTCCCCCCTCTCCCCCGCGCCCCACGACCTCGTCCGGGAGCCCCTTCGACTCTGCTTGCACCTCCCTCTCCCCCTCTGCCCCCACTCCGGGTACTGCGCCCTCCCCGCCCTTGCTGCTCCCCCCCTCCTGCATTCTCATCGCCTGAATCCCCTTCCTCCCCCTCCTCCTCCTCCACCTGCTCTTCCTCCTCCTCCTCCTGCTCGCTCTCCCCCTCCTCGTTTCTCCCCTCCTGCTTCACGGCTTCCCCTGCTGCTCTTGCTTTTCCTGCTGGTGATGCGGCTGTGTTGGTGGGAGGAGAGAAGAGAGGCGCAATTGCGCCGTGCGCGAGCAACAGGATATCCGTCAATATGAGAGGAGCCGTGTGCCAGGCCGCTGAGAGCCCTAACAGCATCTACTGGGTGAGGAGAAATGAGGTAATGAAGTTGGGCCAGGGGCAAAGGATGAAAGAGATCAAACCTAAACCGTGCACGCCAGCACACGCCAGCACCAGCCTTCACCGAGATCCTCCTAAGAACCATCCTTTAGATTCCATCATGCATTCTTCAGCTTCCCCCTCCCCCTCCCTCTCCCCCTCCCCCCTAGTCCTTTCCCCCCATAACTTACCTCCCTTTCCCTTCCGTCTCTTAGCGTGTCTTTCTCCGCCTGGCGACCCCCTCTTCCGTCCCCGGCTTCCCGATCCTCTCAGGCTCGGCGACCCTCCATTCGGCAGGCTCGGCGAATCTACACTCTTCCGACTTCGCAATAGCCTGCTGGCCTGGCCTGGCGACGCTTCAAGCGACTGATTTCCACGCAAGCCTCCCTTCTTCCCAGCCGCATCGCCGGTATTGCCAGGAGAAGCCCCGGGAGCACCTCCAGGAGATTTCCCAGGAGATTTTCCAGGAGATCTGCCTGATTTCCGGCGGCTGTTGGTCAAACCGACTGGCAGAGCGAACGGCGACACTCCTGCAGCTGCTACGGTGATCGGTACCTCCACAACGGTCGGACTGTCGGAAAGCCCCAGCCGGGAAGCGGGGGACGCGGAAAGCGCGGAACGGGGATTCTTTCCCCGGGAAGAGGGGGGCCCAGGGTTCTTGGGAGAACCCTGGTCTTGGGTGCTGGCTCCCTTGCGGGGACCCCCGCCTCGCTTGGCGCGAGGAGGCATGGATGGAACAATGTGGAGACGGTTGTCCGACGATCCAAATGGGAGTGTTTCGTACGGCGGTAGGTGGGTGACGGGAGTTGTGGTTCGCACGGCGTAAACGGTTGGCGATCCGACGGCAGGGTGAGTCGGTGGAATTGAGAAGAAACCGTAAAGAGAGAGAGAGAAAAGAACGACGCTCTTAAAAAAACATGGCTTCAGCTATAAAAAAGGATACAGGGTAGGAAAAAGAGATCTGAAGGGTCTTAAAATCTGAGATCGTGGGACAAACACAGTAAAACTAGTTTGACCGGCGTAGAGAACCCTAATGCGGAAATAGCTGCTATGATAGCAGCGGGAGTCGCTGCGGGAAATCCGGCGAAGAGTATCAGGGATCGGATCCTAGTCCATCCACCTCTTTGACAGGTCGGCTTAGAAGTTAGACTGATCGAACCTTCAAAACCTCGAACTCGTAACAAACTGACAGTATTTGTGAATGCTTCATCCAATTCCGGTCGCGGGTTTCAGCACTGTCAGTGAAAGCTAGGGAGGGACGCTTTACGCCATTGGGCTCAGTCAGCGACCATAACTCTGGCTTCACAGGTGGAACCTTGGGATTGTCGAGCCTCGGGGCATGCCTGCCTAGCCTTGGGATGATCAGGACGTGGAAAATATGGCTCCGAAATGCTGAAATCTCGAATGGTCCGAACGGTGCAGTAAAATTTCACACGGTGCTGGCATGTTTCAGTAAGACAATCGCGTGGTAGAGTGTGGTGGAAGTTCGAGCAGGGGCTGTTTGAACACTAGGCCCAACGCCCTCAGGGCGCGTCGTTTTAGGGCACGTGGGCATCGATTGAAGCTCGATCATCAAATGTACACCCGTACACTCCGCGCCGCTTGAATCAATGACAAAGGGTTACGATTTCGAAAAAATATTCATGTTTCCCCGCAAGAAATGGCTTGGCCGACGAAAACCGTAACCAGCTTGAGTTTGCTTGATCGTTGGGCATGGGTCTCAGACTGATGCACCGATGCCAGCGTCGGGTTTTCTGTCGATGCCCGCGAATACACGCACAAAAGTCGCGCCCTCAGAAAATAGTTTCAAATTCAGCTCCCCCCGCTGTCATCAGTTGCGCGACAATGCCAGGCGTGGTGGTGCAGAGCGGGGGTTGAGGGGGGACAGGCGGCGGAATGCGCGCGGCAAGCCGGGCACGACCTGCGTTGCAGAATGAGCAGCGGGGCGAGGTTTGAGTCGTTGATATAGCCACAGACAGCCCAACCACTAACGAGCGAAAATTCATATGTTTCCCGTTTCTCCAGAAACACAAAGAAGAGTCGTAAGAATGCCGAAACAAAATGTACAAATAAGGCTGAAGCTACTTTCCGTGATCCAGCTTGTTCAGATGTCGGAGAGTCTTATCTCAGCTCACATTCCCCACACACACGCAAGCCTCAAAAAGCCTCATCACAACGTGACCCTCCAGTCTCCCCTCCTAGTTCTCACGACCATTCAGCGCAATTCCTGGTTCTCCATGCAACGATCATAGTTGATCATCAACGCGGATGCACTCTCCATCGATATGTACAGTCCACCATTAGGAGGCCTCCCGTGTATCGAGTCGGCTTTCTAGCTCTACCGTCGGTTCAGGAGACTCAACCATCCTGGATTGATTGGAGCCGCCGTATACACGAGGTAGCAACCAAGCTGGGCCTATAACTTGCGATCCTGGTACTATTCGACGAACAATTAGGACTCATACTTATTCCCGCCAGCGAGCTCGACGAGTTGGAGGCACGCTGAGACCATGGCTCCCAATTTCGGAGTGATCATCCGCGCCGCCTTAGCCGGGTCCGTGGCAGCCGCTGCTAAGATCGGAGGCGCGCTGAAAGCCGCAGGCGGAGTCAAGGTCGGGTCCGCCGCCGCCGCTGCCGCCGCGCTGACCGCTGCTGCTACGACTAAGACTGGGAGTGACGGGACAGAGGGTCCCTCGAGATCTCCAGTTCCCCCAGCCGCACCCAAGGCATGAAGAAATGGAGTGGTGGTGATCGGTAGGACGTTGGGTGAATGCACGCCTCTAAAGGGTGATTTCTCACATTATGGCGTAGTAGTGGTAGTAGGTAGTATTCAAAATGAAATATCATGCTTACTTTTAGGATGCTGCTTGTATATCTTTCTTATAAGGCTCCTCACTGTCCACCACTCAGCACCAAATACAAACGTTTCTCAAGGCAAGCATAACTGCTACCGGTGGCTCTCTTGCTCACCTCACCAAACCCTAGCACATACCCACAGCATCTCTGCAACTCCCTACTGTATCCCTAGTGCGTCCTCATGTCCCTCGTATGATACCTTCTAGAGCCTTGTACCTTACATGTCTGCTGTGTCCGGCTGGTGTGGCTGGGCAAGGGGATGCACTTACAAGCAGCCTTGGCTCGTGCCCTCGCTGCCGTAAGTGCGTGTCGAGTTGTCTCAAAGGCTACATGTTTGCTGTGCCTGGCTGTTGTGGCTGGGGAGGGACATGCACGGACAGTCGGCCTTGGCCCGTGCCCTCCGTGACGTAGTGGATGGTGAGCCATGGGAAGAGAAAGAGGTCCGGATGACCCTGAGAAGCAACAATACGCAGCAGCACACGCCATACAATACAGCATACAGAGCACAGCACCAGAGCCTATGTTTGGCGGGTAATTAATGGGTCGTTTTTGACAGGAACTCCCTTTTTAACGGATTCGGTTAACTCTGAACCCGGGGGTTAATGGGTCGATTCTGGCTCGAAAATGGACTGTAAGCGTAGGTTTCGAGGGATTTTGGCTGAAAAACGGACTTTGACGAGTTCGACTGGGGCCGAAAAACGGACTTTAACAGGTGGCTTTGGTAGAGAACCCAGATCTGACGAGTGGCTAAAATTTCAATCTGAAGCCCTGAGCAGCACGCGGCATGCAGCATGAGAGGAACAATGTGAGCAGGCAGGGACTCATAATACAAGATCAGGTATTTCTGTTTCCCCAACCTGAGCCTGCAGCTCCACTCTCTTGATCCTTCCCACTGTTTCACCAGCCCGCCTTTCCTCCCTGCAGCCTGCCCTCTCAAACCCTGCCCCTCAAACCCTGCCCCTCACACTCTGTCCCTCAAACCCTGCCCCTCACACTCTGCCCCTCACACTCTGCCCCTCACACTCTGCCCCTCACACTCTGCCCCTCACACTCTGTCCCTCACACTACGTTCCTGCGCTCGGAATTGCTTTGGACTTGCCTAGAACCCCACAACGCACCAGATGGGAGACGTTGGCGAAGGGTGATTTGCTCCACTGGAAGGGTGGCTGCTGGTCGTATGTGGGCCCACTGATCGCAAGAGCTGCCAGGCTGTGCTGTAGCATGTGGTAGCTGCAGGCAAGGGGAACGAGACGCATAAAGAGCCATTCAGAGCATGATGATGGCATGGTGATGACATGTCAATGGTGATGGTGATGACAGGGCAATGGTGATGGCATGGTAATGATATGGTAATGGTGATGGTGATGACATGGTGGTCACCCATGGTTACCTAGTAAAATTGGTGTTTCTGTAATTGGTTATCTTGGTGATTGCAACTCCGGGAAAATGGCATGGTTACCCGGTAATCTTGGTGTCAGTCTCTGCGTGACCCTTGAAGCCAAGATGTGCTCCCAACCTGCCTGGTTACCATATTACCTTGGTGGTTACAGAGTCAACAGCGCACTGCATGGTTACCCGGGTAACGTAAGTGCTTTACCCGATAATCTTGGTGTCAGTCTCTGCGTGATCACTGATCCCTGGACCCAAGGAATGGCAAGCCATGCTCCTTAACTGCCTGATTACCTTGGTGGTTACAGTCACACGTGCACACTGCTCATTACCCACTTATCTTGGTGCCAGACTCAGCGTCATCCCTGAAGCCAATGAATGGCAAGTCATACAGCCAACTCCCTGGTTACCAGTGTTTTGGTGGTAACAGTAAAAGGCACATGGGATGTTACCCGGTAATCTTTGTGTCAGTCTCTGCGTGGTCCCTGAGGCCAAGGAAGGGTAAGTCATACAACCCCTCTGCCTCGTTCAAATCCCCGCGTGCTGCAATGGCGTTCTCTGATTGGGTGGGCGAGAGGGACACGAACAGGGACAGGGTGAGAGAAGGATGGTGGTTGTTGGGTACAAGAGGAATGGCGGAAGAAAACAGGAGGAGGAGGAACAAGGAGTCAAGGAGGAGGAACAAGGAGACAAGGAGGAGGAACAAGGAGACAAGGAGGAGGAACAAGGAGGAGGACCAAGGAGACAAGGAGGAGGAACGAGGAGGAGGACCAAGGAGACAAGGAGGAGGAACAAGGAGACAAGGAGGAGGAACAAGGAGGAGGACCAAGGAGACAAGGAGGAGGAACAAGGAGACAAGGAGGAGGAACAAGGAGGAGGACCAAGGAGACAAGGAGGAGGAACAAGGAGACAAGGAGGAGGAACAAGGAGACAAGGAGGAGGAACAAGGAGGAGGACCAAGGAGACAAGGAGGAGGAACAAGGAGACAAGGAGGAGGAACAAGGAGACAGGGGGGGCGAAGAGAGGCGAAGGAGGAGAGGGGAGGGAAGGAGAGGGGAAGTGTGGGGGGGAGATGGAGGAGATGGGATGAGGAGAAGGGAGGGAAGGAGAGGGGAAGGAGCAGAGGGCATGCCTGCGGAGTAGGGTGGGGTGCAGTTGCAGGCAGAGAGCGGGTCGTGCTTGAAGTCGTTGTAGCGCATCAGACGCTGGAGCGAAGCAACGTCCACCACCTGCGAAGAGCATGCACACAGTGACACAACCCAGAATAACACAAAAGACACAGTTGCAGGAAGCAAGAGGGTAATTTTTAAGTTGTTGCTTAAAAGGGCGTATTAGGTGCTCGAGAGTTACCGCATCCACCGCCTGGCAACAGTATGCACACAGTGACACAACACAGGACAACACACAAGCCTCTGGAGGCACACACGCTGAGAAGCACAGCAACGCATTCACAACACAGATGTGGACCACTGGAGTTGAGAGTTCAGATCCGCAGATTCCTGTGTGTTAAAGGGGTATCGTTTGGCATACTGTTCCTCTTTTTGCTGAAGTTTCACACGTTTTTCTGACAAGCTGGTGCTCGCCCAAGTCTCATGGCTTCAACGCTTTCACAGGACAGCAGCGCATCCAGTAGCTGTCCCGGCACATTAATACTGAAACAGAGATGTTCCGAACAAACCCTATGTTCCCTGCACAACACCACAGTACAGAGCTCACAGGCATGCTCACCTTGCCTTGGTCCCTTCGGAACAGCTTTGCTCGGGGAGAGTGGGAGTGGGAGAACCACGAGCCCCGGCGCCGCTCTGATGGGCAAGGCATGGCATGGGAAGGCATGGCATGGCATGGCATGGGTATTTTCATGTAGCCGAGAAGGAGAGCCAACGCTTACCAAGACCAGCGAATCAGCTGAGGTTGAAAATGGCAGGCAAGGCCAGGCTGTTGCACGAGGACTTCGAAGCTGACTCAAAAGCTGCCTGCCCAGGTGAGCGCATGAAACACTAAAGGCAGCAAGCAGCCTACCAAGGTCAATCAACGGACCACAAAGAGAGCCAGTGCCTACCAAGGTCAATCAACGGACCACAAAGAGACCCAGTGCCTACCAAGGTCAATCAACGGACCACAAGGAGACCCAGTGCCTACCAAGGTCAGCAAACCCGCTGAGGTTGAAAATGGCAGGAAAGGCAGGGATGTTGTACGACGCCCAGTAGCCCTCCGTGCGCAGGTGCGCACTCATGTCTTCACCTACAACGTGGCTGTGATCGATGCCAACGAAGGGGGACAGCGCACGGGAGCAAGGTAAGGCAGAAATGTTGTAGGACGCTGGGCTCTGGGCTCTGGGCAATGGGCTCTGCACCAGTGCACCAGTGGACCAGCGGACTAGTGCACCAGTGGACCAGACCACCAGTGCACCGGTGCACCAGCGCACCACCACCCGAGTGGTTTTCAAGTGGTTTGCCACCACCTTGAGTGGATTACCAGAGGTTTGCTACCACCCCAAGTGGTTTTCTAGTCGTTTGCAACCACTCTGCGAGGTTTCCCCAGTGATTTTCCGAGCCCGGGGATCAAGCACCGGGCTGCAGCTCCGGGCACCTTCAAACAGTCGTGATGTGAACTTGTAGCGCGTGCCCCTGTTATGCCCAACCCCAGAGAACACGTAACCCATATAGCACCTACTCCAATAACACTTACCCCGGCAGCTGTTCGAGCACCCAGAGGGTGTTATCCGGAGGAGGGTGGCCTGGCTGGAAGACCTTGTAGTCCACCACCATCCACTGGTTGTTGTACGTGCCGCTGTTGTGCCGTGAGAATACGTCCACCCATTGTCGCCCGCTGCTCGCCACCCGGTTGGCCACCATGTTGCGGATCCACTCCAGGACCTGCAGGAAAAGGGAGAGAGATGCGCAAAAGCAAATGCTCGTTGCGAATGTTGGCCACCACGTTGCGAATTCACTCCAGGACCTGCAGACATGCCATGAGCCAACACGAGTGGGATGGGATGTGGTGACCTTTGAGTTGGCTAAGAGGAGTGGGATGTGGTGTGGGCATTGCGCTGGTACAGCAGCTGACCCCCTGCGAGAGACTCTCAAGAACTAAAGAAAGCTCAGGTACAGCAGCCCAGCCCCCTGTGCAGCCCAGCCCCCCGTGAGAGACATTAAAGCGAATGTAAAGAAAACTCCCATACAGCAGCCCAGCCCCACCTGCAGCCCAGTCCCCTGTGCAGCCCAGCCCCCTGTGCAACCCAGCCCCCCGAGCAGCCCAGCCCCCTGTACAACCAGCCCCCTGTACAACCAGCCCCCTGTGCAGCCCAGCCCCTTCCCCTACGCACCGTGCCGTTGGGGTGCACGTAGCGCCGGTACAACTCAAGGTTGTCGTTGCCAATGGTGGTCTCCTGGTGACACGTGGCGAGGAGAAATAAGGACACGTGGCAAGCAATGAAGGTGGGAGGTGAGAGAAACATGAGAAACATGAAACACACACACACACACATCCTCCCCCCTTTCCCTCCCCCCCCCCCCCCCCCCACACACTCTCTCCTACCTGCACTGCCAACCTGGCGCTGGTGATGTAAAAATCGTCGCCGGAAAACAGACGGCCAGGATAGCTGGCGAATGACATGGCACGGCCTGGGATGACGTCGGCTGCTGACGTGGCAGAGACAGGTGGCTTGAGCTGGAAGGCGAAATCGTAAATCCTGACGGGGCCGTGGGAAGAGGCGGTGGGAAGGACGGGGAAGTGGAAAGGGGAGGAAAGGACGGGGAAGTGGAAAGGGGAGGAAGGTGAGAGACGAGAGAGGGGGAAAAAGAGGGGGAGGGAGGGGAGGAAGAGGCAATGGAGAGGAGAAAAAAGGGGGAAAGAGGGGGGAAGAAGGAAAGGTGAGAGGAGGGGAGGGGGGGGAGGAGAGAGACAAAGGATAGGAAGAAGAAGAGTGACGGGAGGAGGGAGCACAAGGGAATTGATGCCAAGAGAGAAAGCAAGTGCGCACGCATATGCCAAGGAACGGATGGAGAGAGGAAGAGAGGGTGGAGAAGGGGGGGGCGGAAGAGCAGGAAAGAAAGGGTGGGTGGAGGTGGTGGAGGGAAAGGAGAAGGTGGGGGGGGGAGTGGAGGGAGGGAGGGTTTGCCGGGGGGCGGAGTTTGCAAGAGCAAGAGGGGGCCTGACTTGTAGATGCGGAGCATGTTCTCGAGGCGAGTCCATGTGGCTTGAGCGGTGAGGAGGTCGGTGTTGTTGGGCAGCAGCTGGTGGTGGTCGGTGTTGGCGGGCAGGCAAGAGGGGGAGAGAAAAGGGCATAGAGGACCAGACATAGAAGAGCAATCAGCAACCAGTTCGTATTACTCTGTAGCTCACTAACATAGTATGCAAGCAACACACTGCATGCAGGGTTGTAAAGCATGTCAGCGCATGCCAGAGCATGTCAGAGCATGTCAGACCATGTCAGAGCATGTCAGAGCATGTCAGAGCATGTCAGAGCATGTCAGAGCATGTCAGAGCATGTCCGTGACAGTCACCTTGATAATGGCAGAGCATGCGTCTGGGAAGACCAACATGACTCTGTCGTTTCCGCCCTCGCCCCTCCCCTTGCTCCCATTGGCGCTGCTGTGGTCCGTTTCTGCCCCATGCACTATATCGAGGACGTACTGTAGATCCTGGATGTCCCCGTGGAGATTCATTATGTCGAAATCGATGGCTGGAGGGAGGTGAGCGATCGAAAGGCGTGAGGAGAAGGGAGAAGGAGTGAAGCATTGAGATGAACACTGGAGAGTTTCGGTGAGGCATGTGAAACAACAAAAGGAGGGAGTTTTCAGCTAGGCTGTGATAGGTTCTTGAGAACTCTCAAAATCACGTGAAGCATGTGAAACAACAAAAGCACAATGAGAGACAGCAGACCCAACAAGAGTGCAACAACCAGAGTACACACGTTATTTTGGAGGGTGTTTTTGACAAGTCTCAAAAACACCCTGCAATGAGGGACAGAAGACCCAACCAGAGTACACACGTTTTTTTGCAACATCTGAAGGAGCATGTGAAGGGGCATGTGAAGGGGCATGTGAAGGGGCATGAGAAGGGGCATGTGAAGGGGCATGTGAAGGGGCATGTGAAGGGGCATGAGAAGGGGTATGTGAAGGGGCATGTGAAGAAGCATGTGAAGGGGCATGTGAAGGGGCATGTGAAGGGGCATGTGAAGGGGCATGTGAAGGAGCATGTGAAGGGGCATGTGAAGGAGCATGTGAAGGGGCATGTGAAGAAGCATGTGAAGGGGCATGTGAAGGAGCATGTGAAGGGGCAACAGAGTGCATTCCTGCAAGAACCAAACAGCAGCATCACGTATTATTAACGCATGCAAGCAACCTCACCTTCCATCCTCTCTTCCGGTTTCACTGCATCGTTGAACCCCATGCGCAGCCCGCTCACCTGCTGCAGCATCAGACCCACCTGCCGTGGGAGTGAGGCAGAGGAGGATCGAAGGTCGTTAAATTAAGGGAAAGCACGTCACAACCTCTCTTCAACGATTCTCTCTCCCCCCACAAGTTCACTTCGCTCCCCCTTTCTCTCTACCTCCTCCCCTCCCCCCCCCCTCTCCCGCTCCCCTCCTTCCTCTCTCACCTGCCACCAGTACGTCCTATCCTCGTCTGCCACATCACCAGGCCCCGCAGCCTCGGCAGCCGCGACCATATCCTCCATATAAGCGCGATTCGTTTCTAGGTACTGCAGCAGGCGCGGCGATCGTTTCAGTCGCCCGAATTCGTTAACGAAGTGCTGCCGCATGGGCAGCGAGGTGAGCCGCCCCTCCGCGTATCCCGCTGCGAACGCCTGGTCTTTGCTGGAACACGAGGAGTTAGTCGCTATGACAAGGAAATGCCATCCGACTTGTAACATCGACTCTTGAAAGTACCCCCACGCGCATTCCGCTCCAGCTTCCCCCAATTCCCCTCCTTTTTCTCCCCCCTGCTCCCCTTCCCTTTGCTCCCCCTCCCCCTGTCCTTCCTGTTCCGCATTTATTCCGCGTGCCATACGCCCTTCTCCAGATTCCGAATCTGGAATCCACCCGTCCACCCGTCCTTTCGCCTTCTGGATCCAACGGCTATCTGCCTTTCTTTTCGTGACTCTAACGGACGTGACTTCGCCGTTTGAATCCCTCTCTGGAATCACACCTAGGCGAATCGCGTGCGACGGAAACGGGGGTAACTGGAGCGGGGAGTCTGACGACTGCCACGTGGCAGAACGTAAGTAGTTTCTCGCGGATAAGGGACGGAAAGAGCGAGAAGCGGCGCGAACCGTGCTAACGGCTAGCGCGAGGAAGAGGAGACTGAAGCCCCTGACACGGCACGACGCGAGAATTCCTGAACGTTCCATTTGTACTAATTTCGCCATGGTGCCAAAGCTGTTCTTGCTGCTGCTAATGCTGACAATGAAGACGACCGAAACCAGGAATGCTTACGACGGGTGAAATATGAGTTACGATAAGAACCTCCTATCATATCAGGAACACGGAATCTGGTAAGAGCGTGTTCCAACAGACCTCGTCCCAGGCTAGCCTTTTCCCAGAATTGCCACTCGCCTGAGAGTGTATTTTTAGAACCCCGTTTCATGCGGATTCCGTTTCATATTCGAGTTCCAGGTTTTGCGGTCCGCAATAAAAAAACCTCGCGTCGAAAATGCGCTGTACAGATACGTGTATGCCAGGAAAGAGGACACAAGAAAGAAGATTTCAGAACACGCCCTGAATTTCGGCAATCCCAGCATCGCGTCGCACCACGCGGAACCGTATTGAACAACTTCGCGTCAAATTTTGCGACCTTGTAGCGCGTGAGTCTGGGAAGAGGTTGGCTGGGAAGGGGTTCGTAAGAACACGCTCTAAGGCGGAGAGGAGGAACAACCAGGAATTGTGGAAATATCGGCAGACCAAAAATTGCCTTTTCTTATGCCAGTGCTCTGTAGGGTCAACTCTTGGGTCGAGGAGCAGGTTGCAGATCGATCTGATGGGGTATCGTATGTTCCATAATGGTTACCTGCGGTGAAGTGTGAGGTCTGGTTGGGCTGGTCCCGAACCGACCTAGTGACATTGCAAGGTTCGCATGGAAATTTGTTGCATGGTTTGCATGCAACACTATCGCATAGTGTTATGAGTGTTTCACTTAGTAGGGCGGAATCTAATGTCTAGGTTAAGAATAATAGAATGTGGTACAATGGAATGACGAAGCAAGATATAGGCACACCAGAGCAATCCTAGCCGCGTGATCGAACAGGTTCATAGAAGGCATTCGAGGACGCGGAGCGCTTCGGAGTGACGCGGAATGGTTCGGCGTGGCATATAAGGGCCGAAGCTAGGGCAGGTGCGGCGCTTCGGAGTGACGCGGAATGGTTCGGCTGGTCGTAGATCCTGGGCGATCAGCTGTCGGGCGACGGTTGACGTATCGGCGACAAAAGGACGATAGGTGAGTCAAATATACACACCGCTTTGCACCGTACAGCACCACTCCGTACCGCACTGCATCGCATTCCACCGCTCTATACCGCACTGCACCGCATACAACTGCACTGCACCTCCCTCTATCGCACAGTACCGCACTGCACCGTACATCACCGCTTTCCTGCCCTCTACTGCCCCGTACTTCCCTTCTCCTACTGCTGCAACCATGATGGCAGACTCGGTCCTGCGTTTCGATGCGGAGGGGTAGCCGATTGAGTTCGACTCGTGGCTCGTCGACCTCCAGCGCCACCTGACTGGTCAGCGGCAGGACGACCACTCCCTGGCCGTCCACATCGACGGTACGCTCCCCTGCCCGGACCCCCCTGCTGCCCTCCCCGCTGACCGTGAGTCCGCAGCAGTAGCTGCCCTTGCTCGTGCTATCTGGTTGTCGCGTAACGCTGTCGCTCAGCTTGCGATTAGTCATGCCCTTCCCCTGTCTGAGCACCCCCGCTTTAGGTCCGTCACGATTACGCAGGAGTTCCTAGAGGCTGTTGTTGCGCCCCCTCTGCCTCCATAGGTCGCCTGATCCTGCCCATGTTGTTTCCCGACCTTGCGTCTTTCCCCACCGTCGCTGACCTAGCCGCCCACCTGCGCACGATAGACACGACCTGGCGCGCTGCCTGCACTGAAGCCCAGCTTCGTGTGTTTCAGTCCCCCCATCTCCGCTACCCTCTACCTGCTTGCCACCCGCCTTCCTGATTGCCTTGCCACCGCCCGCGATTACTTCCTTAGTCTCCACCCCGCTGACCTCACCCTCACCGACTTTGTCGACACCCTGTCTGCCATACAGACCCGTCAGCGCTCTATCGGCCAGTCTAGCGGTATTGTGCCAGTCTCTATCTTTCAGGGCTGTGCCCCTGCTCAGTGCTCTTACTCCGACGGTTTTGCTACGGTTGCTGAGACGGCTCCAGCTGTGGAGACCGCCGCCGCCATGTAGTTTCGTCCGGGTAAGGGTCGCCGCCCCAAGGCTGGGCGCGGCGGAGGTAGTGGAGGAGGGGGTGGTGGCGGTGGTGGAGGTGGCTCGCCTGCTGGTAGTCCTGACGAGGGGGCTGGGGCTGGTGCCCTGGCACAGCAGCAGCAGCAGGCGCCACAGCTGGACCAGAAGCAGTAGCAGCCACAGCAGCAGCGGCGGGTCGATCGTCTCCCGCCCGGATGGCCTGGAGCTGGAGGTGACGGTGGTCGCAGTGGTCGCTCGCGCAGTGTGCCGTCGGGTGGTGGTCAGAGTGACGGGCGCCGCTAGTACCAGCTCCAGACCGGTCCTCGCCGTGGCCTCGTGTGCGGTAAGATCGGCCATACCCCCGCTCGTTGCTTTCGTCGCCTAAACAACCTGTTTCGTCTCCGCTTCGGCCTGTCGCCTGACCTCTCCGACTGGCACAGTCTGCTCCGTCGTCAGGTTAAGATCTTTGATATGGACATGGATGAGATTAGCTCTGCTTTGTATGCAATGTATGTTGATGACTTTAGTGTGACTAGTTCCTATTACCTTGTGTTGCTTATAGTAGGTGTGCCCAGTGTGCCTAATTTAGGCTCCCCTGCTGCATTAGGCATAGGATCCCCTGCCTTGTTTAGCCTAGGGTCCACCCTCGCTCCTCCGACCTCAGTCGCCACTGCCATGCTCTCCTTCACCCTAGACTCCGGCGCTTCCCGGTGTTTCTTTCGTAACTCCAGTACGCTTACGCCGCTTGCCACTCCGGCTGCAGTTGCTCTTGCAGACCCTTCCTTTGGTCTTGTAGTTGCCCGTAGCTCCACTACTCTCCCCTGTCCGGCGGTTCCCTTAGGCTCCCTTACAGGCCTGCACATCCCCTCGTTCTCTAGGAACCTAGTTGGTGTCAGCTGCCTCCAAGACCTTGGCGTCACCACTACGTTCCCTGGGCACGAGCGGTACGCTGTCTATACTGAGGCCGCCACTAGTGCCCCCCTCACCACACTCCCCTGGGACCCGGTGTCTGGCCTGTTCACGCTGGACACCGCTTCCCTACCGGTTGGGACGCCTCCCCAGGTACCTACGTCTTCCCAGGTTGCTGCGGCGTGCTCGTGTCGGTCGCTTACTCACCCATCAATTCTGTGGCACCACCGTCTAGGTCATCCCGCCCTCACCCGTCTTCGTCACATGTCCCAGCACCATCTTCTCCTAGGCCTCCCTGAGTCGTTCCCTGCGCTCCCCTCCTCACCCGCGTCTCCGTGCACTCCCTGCATCGAGGGCCGGCTCCGCAGTGCCCCTCACTCCTCCTCGTTCCCCCCTACCTCCACACCGCTGCAGACCCTGCACATGGACGTCTGGGGCCCCGCCCCTGTCCATGGGCCGCGTCGCGAGCGCTACTTCCTAGTGCTTGTTGATGACTATCCCGCTACACCACTGTCTTTCCCCTGGAGCGGAAGGTCGACGTGCCTGACGTTCTTCTCCCGTAGCTTGTCTCTGCGCGTGTTCACCGAGGTCTCCCTGTCTTGCGTCTTCACTCCGACCGTGGTAGCGAGTTTGCCTCTGGCTACCTTGGTCGCTTCTGTCGTGCGGAGGGCATCACCCAGAAGTTCACCCTGCCGGACTCCTCGCAGCAGAATGGGGTTGCTGAGCGACACATCAGTTTGGTCATGGAGGCTGCTCGTACCTCCATGATCCATGCCGGTGCACCCCATTTTCTGTGGCTGTTCGCCGTTCACTACGCCGCTCACCAGCTTAACCTGTGGCTACACCCCCAGCAGCCGCAGGTTTCGCCGACCCTCCTCTGGACCGGGTCCCCTGGTGATCCAGACGGCCTCGACATCCCAACGCCTCGCACCTACGCTAAGGCCACCTCAGGACCCTGGGCCTCTGAGTGGATAGCTGCCATGGAGCAAGAGATGGCATCTTGGAGATCCAACGGTACCTTGGTCGATGCAGTTCCCCCACCTGGGGTGAACGTAGTCGATGGCCGGTGGCTCTTCAAGGTGAAGCGCCCTCCTGGAGAGCCGCCTGTCTTCAAGGCGCATTACGTCGCTCAAGGCTTTAGTCAGCGTGAGGGGGTGGACTTCTTTCAGACCTTCGCCCCGACCCCGAAGATGACCACTCTTCGGGCGGTGCTACACGTAGCAGCACAGCGTGACTACAAGCTCCACTCCCTCGACTTCTCCACAGCTTTCCTCCAGGGCGGTCTACACGAGCAGGTCTACCTGCGCCGCCCCCAGGGCTTCTCCGGTACCTTCCCCCCTGGTACCGAGTGGCTCCTCCGGCGCCCAGTCTACGGCTTGCGACAGGCACCGCGTGAGTGGCACGACACGCTGCGTGCTACACTTGCAGACTTGCAGTTCTTCCCTTCGTATGTAGACCCCTCGCTCTTTGTCCGTTCTTGCCAGACTCTGTTCTACATCCTTGTCTACATAGACAATTTGGTCTTTGCTACTGCAGACAGAGACGCACTGGCCACCGTGAAGGTCGAGCTCCTGAGGAGACACACCTGCACTAACCTAGGAGAGCTGCGCCGCTACCTTGGCTTGCAGATCTCCAGGGACAGAGCAGCGCACACCATCACTCTCTCACAGTCACACTTGGTGCGCCAGGTCCTTCAGAGGTTCGGCCATCAGTTCTCTTCCGCACAGCCCACCCCTCTGCCAGTAGACCATAGACTCTCTGCCCCAGTCCCAGAGTAGGCTGTAGAGCCTAGTGGTCCCTACGCAGAGCTGGTGGGTTGCCTCATGTACTTGATGACTTGCACTCGTCCAGATCTCGCATACCCTCTCAGCATCCTGGCTCGCTTTGTGGCCCCAGGCAGACACCGACCACAGCACTGGTCGGCAGCTAAGAGGGTTTTGCGTTATCTAGCAAGTACATCAGGCATGGGGCTAGTGCTAGGAGGACAGAGACTAGTGGTCCTTACCGGGCACACAGACGCTTCTTGGGCAGATGATGCCGAGACTCTCTGGTCCTCACAGGGCTACTCCTTTAGCCTTGGTGCAGGTGCCATCTCGTGGAGGTCCACTCGCTCCTCGTCTGTT